GGAAATCTACATAAAATTTAGCAAGATTGTAGGATATAAGGTCAGTATACAAAAATGAATTGTGTTTACTAACAATGGGCAATTGGGAATTGGAGTTTAAAAATGTATTAAAGCATCCAAAAAAMCTAAAATACATAGGAATAACTCTAACAAAATATATGCAAGAACTATATACTGAAAATTAACTACAAAGCACTGCTGAGAGAAATTTGAGAACTAAATAAACAGAGAAGTTATCAAAATGGGTCAATTAGTGTTCCCTTCACCTCCCCTCCACTCCCTCTGAAATTTCAGCATGTTACCTATTTTGGGAATAGTGAGTTTGTAAATGTAATTAGCTAAGTGTCTTCTGATGAAAGGGTGGGCTCTGAATTCAATGACTGGTGACTTTACAAAAGAAAGGAAAGGGAGATTTGAACCAGCTGATCAAAGGGTAGAAGACTCTGTGAAGATGGGGGCACAGGTTACAGTTGCGTTGTTACAAGCCAAAGTCAAGGAATGCTAAGAGCATTTGGGAAAACATTTGTAAGAAGCAAAGGAATACCCCAGAGAGAGGAGTATGGCCCTGCAAATACCTTGATTTTAGACTTCTGGTCTCCAGAACTGTGATAAATTTCTGTTGTTCTAAAGCTACCAAGTTTGTGGTAATTTGTCATGGGAGCTCTAGGGAACTGATACAACTGTGTACTGGATTGGGACCTAGAATAATCAAAACAATTTTGAAAAAGAACAACAAAGTTTGAGGACTTAGAACTAACTGTAGGACTTGCTATAAAAGCCAAGTATTCAGGGCAGTGGTATTAGCATGAAAATAGACTAAATAGATAGAACAAAGTAGAGTCCAGAGGTGCTTAACCAGTGAGCCACATCCCCAACCCTTTTTATTTTTTATTTTGAGACAGGGTCTCACTAAGTTACTTAGGGTTTAGCTAGTTGCTAGGGCGTTCCTGAATTTGCAATCCTGCTAGCCTGGCTGGTGGAAAGGGTAATCTTTTAAATGGTGCTAGAACAATTGGATACTGATAAACAACCAACAACAACAACAAAAATTTGACCCTTACCTATTACAGTACAGCAAGAGTAGTTCAAATGGATCATAGACCAAAGTTTAGGAGCTAAAACTATAAAATTTGTATAACACAAGAGAAAAATTTTATGATCTTGGTTTGGGAAAAAAATTCCTAGATATGTCACTAAAATCATGAACCATTAAAAAAGGTGGCAGATTTGGGGCTGGGGCTGGGGCTGGGACTCAGTGGTAGTGCATTTGCCTGGCATGTGAGGCGCTGGGTTCGATTCTCAGCATCACATATAAATAATAAAATAAAGGTCATCAACAACTGAAATAATATATATATATATATGGTGGTAAATTAGAACTCATCAAAATTAGAAATTTTTGTGAATTAAAAGATGATGCTGCTGGCACATGCCTATAACTCCAGCAACTTTGGAGGTTAAGGCAGGGATCACAAGTTTAAAGCCAGCCTCAGCAATTTAGCAAGGCCCCATCTCAAAAAAAAAAAAAAAAAAAAAAAAAAAAAGTGATGTGGCTCAGTGGATAAGCACTGCTGGGTTCAATTCCTAGTACCAAAAAACAAAAACAAAAACCCAAAGAACCCCACCAAACAATAAAAGATAATGCTAACAAAGTAAAAAAGCAAGTTACAGTTTGGGAAAACATATTTGTAAGTTCCATGTATGACAAAGGACCTGTTTGTAGAATATATAAAGAGTTGTTATTATAACTCAGAAAACTAATAACCCATTTTAAAAATGGACAAAATATATGAGCATATAATCCATTAAAAATTATACAGATGTCCAATAAGTACATGAAAAATTGATCAGTGTGATTAATCAYTGGGAAAATGCAAATCAAGAAATCAAAACCACAATGGAATGCCWCTACAACCTCTAAAATGACTAAAATTAAAAAGGCTTCCAAAGCTGAACATGGTGGTACACTTATGTAATTCCAGTGATTTGGGAAACTGAGGTAGGAGAATTGCAAGGTTGAAGGATATATAATTGGAGTGTTCAAACTGTTGGTGGCTATCTAATGTTACAACAACTTTTAAAACTATTTAGCAATCTAAAAAAAAAAAGTTAAAGGTACACTTTCCCTATGACTGAACATTCTACTCCTAAGTATTTACCTAAGAGAAATGAAAGGTCAGGTCTATAAAAAGACTTGCTGGGAAATGGCTATGGTTCCTCAGTTCATAATAAGCAAAAAACCAGAACCAATCAGATATCCATCTATACACTAATGAATAAAATATGTTCAACCTTATTAATATCCATGAAAATACAAATTAAACCATGTTAAGATATCACTTCATGACCACTACAATGACAAGAAATAAAAAGACCAAGAATACCATGTGTTGGTGAAGTTGTGAGCAGCTAGAACTCTAAAGCATTGCTGGTAGAAATGCAGAATGATAAAGCAGCCTTAGATAACAGTTCCCAGGTTCTTAGAATGTTAACCGTGCCCTTATGTATATAATCAGCAATTCTACTTCTAAATATTTAACCAAGAGAAATTAAAAGATATGTTTGCAGAAAGATCTGGGTTCAAACATTCATAGCAGCTTTACTTATGATAGCTGAGAACTGAAAACCACTTAATCTCCATTGATAGATGAATGGAAAACAAAAATTGAAACAATAAAAGAGTGTGCTATTGATATAAACAATACCATGGATGAATCTCCAAAACATGTTGAGGGAAAGCAGCCAGAAACAAAAATAGTGTGTATATGGTTCCTTTTATAGAAATATAAGAAAACTCCAACTAATCTTAGAAAACAAATCAGTGGTTGCCTGAACCTGGAAGTAGAGGCAGGAATTTACTGAAAGGGGTTATGAATGAACTTTTGGGGCTGATAGAAATGTACTGTTTCTTAATTGTGGTTAAGTGGGTATACACATTTTTGAAAAGATTGACTGTATGCATTTGAAATGTGTGCAGTTTAGTTTTGAATTATATTTCCACTAAGTTGATTTTAAAAAGTAATATTCTACCACCCTTGTAGCCACCCATCATTTCTCATTTGGATGACTGCAGTACACTCCTGAGTGGTATTTCACTACAATCCTGGGTTGTATTCCTGCTGTTGCTTTACTTCTCAGACCCATACAGGACAATGTGACCTTTCACTTCCTGCACACACTCTTTAATTGCTCACCAGGCTGCCTCTTTAACCTGGCCTGTAGCCTTCTTCTGTGGCCCTTACCTATCTTTCTAGGTCATCTTCCATTACCTCCTGCTTCTTACTTTGCTTTTGGCTCTCAGTTCCCAGAACAGACCATGCTAATTTCATTTCTTGTGCCTATACTCACTATCTCCCCTAAGCCTTTTGTTTAGTAAACAACTTTATCCTTTAAAACCCAGCTTAGGACTCTCCTTATCCAGGATATGTTTTTCTTTTGTAAAGATTATCCTTCATGCCTTCCCTCTCCCAAGAGAGAAGAGGTTAAGTAGCTTCGGATAGTTTCTTTGGTTCATCATAACTTTTTTTTTAAATATATATTTTTTATAACTTCATTTTATTTATTTATATTTTAATGTGGTGCTGAGAATTGAACCCAGTGCCTCATGTATGCTAGCAAGTGCTCTATCCAGCCCCAGTTCATTATAACTTTTATAGATATATTTACTATTTTAGCTTATTATATGTTTAGTTTTTACTCTGCTGCTTATTGAACACAATAATTAAGTYTTATTTTTATTTTGGATCTACATTGCCTGTTCCATAATAAGTATATTGGAAATATTGATTATAAATGTTAAGAAGACTGAGGTATATACATAGTATTGTTATTATTATTCTTTTATTTTAAATAAAAACTCTTCATAGAGAAGAACTGAAGCTGGGCATGTAATTCCAGTGGCTAGGGGCGCTGAGGCAGGAGGATCTCGAGTTCAAAGCCAGCCTCAGCAAAAGCAAGGCGCTAAGCAACTAAGGCACTAAGTGAGACCCTGTCTCTAAATAAAAATACAAATCAGAGCTGGGGATGTGGCTCAGTGGTCGAGTGCCTCTGAGTTTAATCTCCAGTACCAAAAAAAAAAAAAAAGAACTGAGTCTGAGTATGGTGACACATGCTTATATCCTAGCTGTTCAGGAGATCAGAGGATTGCAAGTTCCAGCCCAACCTGGGAAATTTAGTGAGACCTTGTATCAAAATAGGAAATTAAAAGGACTGGTGATGTAGCTCAGTGGTAGAGAAACTTCAATTCAACCCCCAGTACCAGGGAGAAAAAAATTAATAAATCTCTCAGTATTTTTCCTTTCTTTCTCTTCCYCCCCCCCCCCTTTCTTTCTTTTTTTWAATRTGTGTGTGTATGGTTCTGGAGTTTGAACTCAGGGCCTTGTGCATGCTAGGAAAATACTCTACCACTAAGCTACAGCCCCAGATTTTATATCAACATTTTAAACAGTGTTTTTCTTTGGGTAGTATGGTAATTTTCCATTTCTGCAACAGAATACCTGAGATAATCAAAAGTTGAAAAGATTTATTTTTGGCTCAGTTTTAGAGGTCATTTGGTTCTCTTGTTTGGGCCTGTAGTGAGGCAAAGCTGCCGCAAACTGGCTCCTAACACAAAGCATTAATGGTGAGGAATGTGTGGTAGAGCAAAGCTGCTCACCTCATGGCAGCCAGGAACCAAAGAGAGGGAGAGAGGAAGGGGTCAGGGACACAATATAACCTTCAAAGACATTCTCCCAATGACCTATTTCCTTCAACTAGGCCCTGCCTCCTAAAGTTTCCACCACCTCCCAGTAGTGCCACCAGCTGGGGACCAAATTTTCAACACATGAGCCTTTGGGGGATATTCCAGATCCAAACTGTTAACAGGTAGTGAGATTTAATTCTTTAATATTTTTTTACATTTTTTGCATTTTCAGGATATCATTTAACATACTATTATTTCATGAGCTATAACCTGAGAAACTAACATTTGCTGACTCAAATTATCTTTTACATTTTTTTAGGTCCAGAAGGCAGTTACAGTTTCCAGTCCCTTAACCACAGACCTGACTACAGAGATTGCTGGTCAGCCAAAGAGTGTATCAGTCCAACCTGAAACAACAGAGGATCCTGGAATTATAGCCAGCACTCAGCAAGTAAAAAGTCCTGGGAAAATCCAAACTGCTATCCCTCTTCCAGTGGCTCCCTCCTATATTCATACAACTCCTACCCCCCAGGCTTCCTTCCAGAGCACATCAGCACCATAYCCAGGTGAGGACCTATGATCCTGCCCTTGGAAATAGGATAGAAAAGTGAAGCATTCAGTCCAAATATTCAGTTCTCTCTGCTTTTAATTGATTTGAGTATATATATATATATAACCAGAAATAGAATTACTGGATGACTTGATAATTCTACTTTTAGTGGAATTTTTTTGTTTGTTTGTTTTTGTTTTAATACTGGGGATTGAACCCACAGTGCTTTACTACTGAGCTACATCCTCAGCCTTTTTACTTTGTATTTTGAGACAGCATCTCACTAAGTTGCTGAGGGCCTCACTAAGTTGCTGAGGGCCTCGCTAAGTTGTTGAGGCTGGCCTCAAACTTGTGATCTCCTGTCTCAGCCTCCCAAGGCACTGTCATTATAGGYATGTGCTACCATGCCCGACAAAAGCATCTTTATTTTTAAAACAACCCATGGGAAGGATATCTAGTGTTACCTTAACAAGTCTGTGCTTCAGGAGTACTGCTCTAAGGTATTAGGAGGAAATGCTTAATCACTGGTTAATGGTTAATCCTGAAAAAGTCAAGAGGGTAAAGCAAAGCAGTAAAAATACATTTTTGCCAAATTTTAATTTCCTAGGGTCTTCTTTGGTGGTAATGTAATGTGAAATTTTACGGTTTCAATCCTGAGGCACCAAAGTAATTTTCAGTTTAATTGTAAAGGGTTTGGGTTGTACTACCTTAACTAGCCATTTTTTTTGTTCATTGTACTCTCTCTGAGTATAATGRTTTTCCTTTTTTCTTTTCTTTTTTGAAAAGTTACTTTAGAGAGCTCTTATTCCATCTCCTGGGGCCATCCAGAGGCTGCAGCTTCCATAAAAGATGGTTTCATTTTTCTCTCAGTGCAATGTTCCCAAGCAGAGGCAGATAAATCTCAAGTTTTATATATCTAGGAAGCCCTTCTCACCTCCCAGTCTTGAAATATGAGTTGACCAGCCTGTTGTTTTCTTTAAGCTGTCCTAGTGTTGAAGTGTCATACCAAATGAACAGTTACTGTCAGAGAAGAAATAAGATTTATATATCCAGTAGTTCTCAATGGTCTGCAAGCATTTTTGGTTGTTACAACTGGTGGGTGGGTAGTACTATTTTTTAAAATTTCTTTTTTGCGTGCACTTTTATTCAGTTTTTTTTTTTTTAGATTTTTTGTTGTTGTATAGACTGAATACTTTTATTTATTTATTTATTTTTATGTTGTGCTACTGAGGATTGACCCAGTGCCTCACAGGTGCTAGGCAAGTGCTCCACCACTGAGTTACAGCTCCAACCCCCTGGGTGGTACAATTGACATGTAGTAGATAGGGGCCATTGTTACTGGGAACCATCATAAACAGTGTTTAGGAAATCCTCCTATCCCCAGCAAAGGATTTTCTGGTTCGGAATACCAATAATGCCAAAGTTGGAAAACCTTGACATAAGAGAAATGGCTGATGAATGGTATAAGAACAGTTTTAGCTATTTACAGTCTTGGGTGTTCCACAGTGCTAAAGCAATTCAAGAAGTAGATCAGTTGAACTGAAATGGTCTGGGAAGATTTGTTGGCGACAGTTTAAAGCTAGAAACAAAATGCTGTATTTAGAATACAGAAAGGCAAACATCCCAATTAAAAATAGCTTTTGTAAAGTCCCCTGGAGTAGACCATGGCTTCTGTGGAGCACAAAAAGAAAAAATAGTGTAACTTAGAGGCACAGTTGGATAGGAAAGGTAAGTCTGTGAGATCAGATCATGATGGCCCTATAGGGCCAAGATAGAAGTTTGGCTTTAACATGGTGTGGGAGCAGGGTTCTTAAATAGGAGAGTAACATGGTGGGTKAGTATTTTAGGAAAATAGAATGGATTCAAGTGGGGAGAGAGCTAGGAGAAGGGAGACCAATAATAACTAGAATGGAGAGAAAGTAAGACAGGCCTTGTGACTAACATTCATCTTTCTTATTTATGTATCTTATTAAAAAGTTATTTATCAACATAAAAGCGATCCYTGAAACAGAATTTGAACTCTGTGGAAAGTATTGTATAAAGAGGACTTAGGGACAGGCCATAATTAAAATACAGTGCGGAAAAAGAAGCAGGAGAAAAGTAGGATACAGTATGATGATAACCAAGAACTTTAAGAGGGAGACAGCAGGAGTAGGTGCCTCCAAGGTGATGGTAGAGATTGGGTTACAGTTGTTAGATTTACTCAGCAGCCACTTGTTGATGATCTTGAGATCCTTTTCAATGGAAAGGTAGAGACAAAATCAAACTTCAGGTGGTAAGAGAGTAGAAAGATATTAGGAAATGAAGGCCATAGCTGAGTATTATTCAGGAAAGGTGTTTGATCACAAAGGAAGGAGAAAAATGGCACAGTCTGGATATATTTCTTATCTCTGGTATTTTTATTTTATTTCTAGTTATAAAGGAACTTGTGGTATCTGCTGGGAAGAGTGTCCAGATGACCCTGCCTAAGAATGAAGTTCAATTAAATGCATATGTTCTCCAAGAACCCCAGAAAGGTAAAAATCCCTTTACACTTGGGTTACATTTCTGATTACAATGATATCCACATACCTCAACTCACTCTTTCCGTAATAGCCCTGTGAAGATAGGATATTACATGAGGGAGAACAAATATTCATGAAATACAGGACAGTAGGGTTTGAGATATCAAGCCTGGGTTCAAGTCCCAGGTTAGCCAGTTTTTAGCTGAATGATTTTAAGCAAATTACTTAACTTCTCTGAGTGTCTGTTTCTCTCTCTCTCTCTCTCTCTCTCTCTCTTCCTCTTCTCTTCTCTTCTCTTCTCTCTCTCTCTCTCTCTCTCTCATATAAAATGAATAATTCTTACTTCATAAGGTTACTGTAAGGGCAAAATGAGATAGTATATAAATCACCTAGTTCAGTGCCTAGCATATAGCTGATGCTCATTAGCATAGATCTCACATGCTAGGTTGTATTATTCCTATTTATTTGCTCATTTATTTTKGGCATTTAGGATTGAACCAAGGAGTGCTTTACCACCAAACTACATCCCCACGTCCTTTTTATTTTTTATTTTGAGATAGTCTTGCTAAATTGCTAAGAATCTGCTAAAGTACCAAGGCTAGCCTTGAACTTGTGATCCTCCCACTTCAGCCTCCTGAAGTCACTGAAATCAGAGGCATGTTCCCCCATGCTCTGCTATTATACCCATTTAAAGGGGAAGAAACTGTGACTCAAACTAATCTGTTTATTTTGGCCAAAAAAACTAGTAAATAGAAGGTGTAGAACTTGGAGAGAAGTTAGTCAAGACTACTGTTAATATAGGTTTGAACCTTAAAAAAAAAAAAAAAAACTTAATTCATGATTTACAAAATTCAAAGTTATAAAATATATATTTGTTTTTTTAAAAAAATTTTGGATCGGGATTGAACATACTACTGAACATATCCACAATCCTCTTTTCTTTCTTCTTCTTCTTTTTTTAATCTTMTTTTATTTCTTATTTTGAGACATRGCCTTGCTAAGTTTCTGAGGGCCTTGCTAAGTTGCTGAGGCTGGCCTTGAACCTGTGATCCTTCTGCTTCAGCCTCCTAAGACTCTGGAATTGCAGGGCCATGCCTGGTTAGATTTATAAAATATTTAAATGAATTGGTGATTAATTCACTAGTTAAGGAAACTTTTGTAATGTAAACATCCTTTCACCTTTGAAGTATATTTCCCACACCAAAGTTTGACTTATAAACACAAACATTTTCTCTTAAGACCACCTATGACATGAGTGAAGCACTAGAAAATTAATGTGATGGATTTATGTTGCTTTCATTAGAAGGTTAGTCAAGTAAACTACTCTTCTCTATTCAGATGAGTCCTTCCATTTTATGTACTTGTTTCTAATACAATATTCTTAATTTCTGGTTCTAAAACCAAATACTGTATTTATGCAAAAAATACTTTTCCAGAACTTAAATCCTTCTTCTGACCAAAAGTTCTGCTCTCAAAGTGAGGTTTTATTACCAACTCATTCTACCTTTAGRGAAACTTTTTCCTTTCTTTCTTGGGTGGTAAGTTACAGTGAGTAGATTTGGTGGTCTTTGAAGATGGAATTAAGAGCTATCTTGAACAATGTATGCTGGTGATTGAACCCAGGGTTTTGTGCATGATAGGCAAATGCTTTACCACTGAGTTACATCTACAGCCCTGCTTTATTTTTTTCTAATCTCTATTTGCATATACATTTGTTTGAATTACTGTTATCTTGTAGATCAATGTTGCAAAACAGGTCATTGGAAAGGAAACAGATTCTTTAGTTATCCTCTGCCCAGTTCTTCAGCTTTAATTAAATCCATGAGATGAATGGTCTCAAGCTTTACAAGATTGGGGCACTGAGGCAAGGCAAATTCTGCCTGTTCTTTATCTTTCTCCTGCCCTGTGGCAGCTCATTAGGATCCCTGTAGGGTTCAAAGGCTGGTTCAAAACTACTGCCCTATATCATTACAGTCAACAATATAACAGACCTATATTCAATTGTTCCCATCCTTGRGCAAATTTCTGCCTGTAAGGCATAAATTCTTCCCCTCAACTTTTCTGCCCTAGGAATATCATCCTTGTTTTTTTTTTTTTCAAAGAGAGAGAGAGAATTTTTTAATATTTATTTTTTAGTTTTTGGTGGACACAACATCTTTATTTTATTTTTATATGGTGCTGAGGATCGAACCCAGCACTCTGCGCATACCAGGCGAGCACGTTATCGCTTGAGCCACCTCTCCAGGCTTATCATCCCTTTTTGACATTGGTGTTAATAGCTTTTTTTTTTTTTGGTACTGGAATTGAACCCAATGGCACTTTGCCGTTGAGCTACACTCCTAGTTTTTTTTTTTTTTTTTTTTAATTTTGAGACAGGGTCTTGCTGAGTTATTGAAGCTATCCTTGAACTTGCAATCCTCCTGCCTCAGCCTCCTAAGTCTCTAGGACTAAGGTGTGTACCACCATGCTTAAGTGCTACCTTTAGTTATTTGAAAATGATCACTTCCTAAGCTAATGTGAGTTTCCTTTCTGTGTGGAAAAAGCATTTACAACTAGAGTTGGAAGAAATGTGTCACAGCATGAGTGCTGCTTCTGCTGCTCCTTTCTGCTCCTCCTGAGCAGACTTTTTTTTTTTTTTTTTTTTTTTTTAAATGGTGGTGCTGGAGTTTGAACCTGGGGACTTGTGCATGCAAGGCAAGCACTCTACCAAATGAGCTATCCCCAGCCCCAACTTTTTTGGGTGTGTGATGCTGGGGATTGAACACATGGCCTTGTGCATGTGAGGCAAGCACTCTACCAACTGAGCTATATATCCGCAGCCCCTGACCTGCCTTTTTGTATGTACATTTGTGAGAGCAGCTGGGATGGATAGCTCTCCAAAACAATACTAGTTTGCTGGCAGAAGGAAGATCATGAAACCCAGGATTATAAAATAACATCTGGTCTTCAGATGAAGTATATCTTGGGATTAGGGCAGAAGTGTGCTAACTTTAACATTTGAACTCATGAAAGAAAAAGATATGAATTTGGGGCAGTGGGGTAGAGCTGGGGTTGTGGCTCGGGGGTGGAGCACTCGCCTAGCACGTCCGAGACCCTGGGTTTGATCCTCAGCACCACATAAAAGTAAATAAAAGGATTGTGTCCACTTCAACTAAAAAATAAAAAATTAAAAAAAAATAATTTGGAGTCGAGGTTGTAGCTCAGTGGTTGAGCACTTGCCTCTCATGTGTGAGGCACTGGGTTCAATTTGCAGCACCACATAAATAAATGAATAAATAAAGTATTGTGTCCATCTACAACTAAACATAAATAAATAAATAAAAAGATAAGAATTYAAGGATTCTTTTATTTTTTTTCTCTTTTTGGGTAGTCAACTTAAACTAAACCTTCCTACCAAATCCTACCCTTCCCTAGCCAGAAATGCATTTTATCCCCTGCCTCCCAAATTGAGACCACTTTTACTGGGYGGGATTCCATTTAGATAACAGGATTCCACCCTTGTGCTACCAAGTGATATAGTCTGAGCTGCAAATGAGGACCATTTAATGCTTCATTTGATCTTAATTAATTTCAGTGGGGCCTGTTTTAAATGGGCCATGCCCTACCGTTTTTTTCTGCAGTGTGTTATTTAGCTCAGCAGGAATGAAGTAGCTCTTTTAACTCACTAGGGTGTGATGACCTCAGTGAGAAGAGCATTGTTAGCACTCTGTAAAAAGCTATTTTTGAACCATGTTATTTAGAAGTCATTGCTGTTCTTTGTTGCAAAAGAAGTTTTGCAGGAAAATGGCCTTTGTTCCCAATGAGTTCACCTGTAGCATTGGTAGGGCATGTGTTTTCAGTGAGATGCCATCCCCCAGCAGTCTGCATTTTTAAGGGAGGATTGGCCTGAGGGTGGGATGGGGCAGAAATGAGTATAGGTAGCCGAGAGTGTGGAAGAAGAAGCCTTAACTGGAGCTGAGTCAGCGGAATCCACCCTTTCTTTCCACAGATGGTTTAGTGTCCCTGAAGACTTTGGGGTACAGACTTAAAAATGAAGGCCTTGTCAAGATTTAAAAGAGATTCATTATGGGCAGCCTTTAGAAAAGATTTGTTATTGGCATGCTCTTTATGTGTAGGTGTGTGTTTTCATGATTTTCATAACTGCCCTTCTATAGGAGAAACCTACACCTACGACTGGCAGCTGATTACTCATCCTAAAGACTACAGTGGAGAAATGGAAGGGAAACATTCCCAGATCATGAAACTATCCAAGGTGAATTTGCTTCTTTTCATTTGCAGGACTAAGTCAAAGTAGGTGATTTACATTCTAAAATAGGTAATATAGAATTTTCTGTCCACACTGAAGTTGGGAATAATCTTCCAGAAGTGTCTCCTTCAAAAGTCTGACTGGCTGACATCTAGTGTTTGTTAGTGTATGATTTTCAAAGTTTCATTAAAATTGAACCAGTATGGCAGTGATAGCTGAATATATCCACTAAACAGCTTTGAAGGGTAACATAAGGATTTTGGAATTTGGGACATAAGATAGGTAATTTGTGGCCACATGACTGTGTACATTGGTTCAGTCCCTTTCATATAGTTTTTAAGAGCCATAAAAATGTTTATATTCTTTGGCCCTTACTGATTCATTCATTAAATGGAAGGTTACTCCTTGTACACTAGTTATGTGAGAGCCATTTGAGATTAACCAGTGAATTAATCATAATTTTAATGTTTGGGGAATGGAGTTTAGGAGGTACTTAGGAAGCAGGGAAGGCTAATAGGTGATCACTAGGTCAGCGAGAATAGATTTCTTAAGAGAAAATTTGCCTACGTGGGTCTGAAAAGTGACTGACTTCCTGGGTAAAGGGTGGAGGGAACATAATCAAGCAAAAGAAGCAGCATATCCACAGGACTAAGAATGAGAGAAAATGTGGGGAACAGTGCATAGTTGAGCCTGAGTGGACAGTCAGGTGTGAGAAGAGCGGTAGCATAGTCAGTTGGAGAAATGCAGGGGCCAGGTGCAGCAGAGCCTCATGGCAGATTAAGGACTTTGAATCTTACCTAAAGGAAATAGGGAGCTTTTGAAAACTTTTGAGCAGAAGAAAGACATGTTCAGATTTTCAGTTTAGAGAGATCATCATGTCCACAGATTAAAGGAGATGAAACTCTTTAAGTGTGGAGATCAATGACGAATGTATTGAAAAATTAAGGGGGAAATGATACTATTCTGAGTATGAAAACTAAATAGATGATATTAATGAGAAACCACCAACTGAGCTTATACCATATGCCAGACTTGGTGCTAATTGGTTTACTCAGTTATTTCTTTTAATTGTCATAATATCCCCAATATGTAGATGTTAATATTTGTTTTACAAATAACAAAACTAAAATTTGAAAAAAGGAAGTGGTTTGGCCAAAGTTCACAGAGATATTAATTAAATAATAGGTTTGCACCAGAGCTATAATCCCATGCTTTAATAATTAATATGATGAGTAGTTAAAAACCAAGGTGATGGTTTGATTCCCCAGTACCACAAACAAACAAAAAAAGAACTAAGGTGTGGCAGTGTAGATGGAGACAAGTAAGTGGAGGTCAACTTGAGAAAATGTGATGATCTGATGATCAAGGCATTGTGTGAGAGTGTTGGATGATTGTGGCTTTTTTGGCTTAGGCACCTGGATGGATGTTCGCTGAAATAAGGAACACAGAAAGGATAACAGATTTKGGGGAAATTTTCAGATGATTAATTCACTTTCAGGTGGAGTGAATTTGAGGTACCTGTGAGACATTTGAGTGGAGTTGTCCCCATAGCAGCTGGGGGAAAGAAACTATATACTAGGGGACATCTGGGCTAGAAAGATAAATTTGCATATCCATCTCAAATAGATAATTGAAACCAGAGTCATAGATAAGATCAGCTAGGGAGAATGTTTGGATTAAGGAAATAAGTAGGCTGAGGTTGGAATCCTGGGGTGTGCTCTCATTTAAGGGATGGCAGGTAAACTGGAGGAAATATGAGGTAGGTGGAGAAGGGAAAATTTAGGAGGAAAGCATTACAAGGGAGAGAGTGGTCAAAAATGTTACTGATACCCAATTAGTGTTTATCCAAAGGAGATAATTCTAAAGAAAGGACACCCCTCATTTTTCTTAAAAGTGTTCATTACAGCATTAGTAAGAGTTTAGAAGCACCCCAAGTATCCAACAGTATGAAATGTTTATGACACATTTATTATTATTCTATAGTCATTAAAGTGAATATTAAAAAGACTATATCCTAATGGGAAAAGGGTTCATGCTAAATGAAAAGAACAATAAAAAGTTTGATACTTTGGTTTTATCTAGACCTTGAATACCTCTGAAATTTGAGCTCTTCAAATGTGGGAATCTTAATTTACCTCCAAACCCCAAGCCTAGACAGTGACTGGTATATGATTGATTCTCAAGAAATGTTTGCTGAATGAATTGGATAAAGCTAGTTTTTATGTGGGCAAAGATTGGAAGGAAATAGAGAAATATGATGAGTTAATTGTTAGGGTAATGAGATGGTAGGTGATTTTATTGCCCCCTTTTATATAATGTTCATATAGTTAATAGAAGTCAGGAGGGAAAACTGCTTAGATATTTGGGAACTATTTGGAATTTTTATAAGATGTTTTTCTTTGAAGAGATGATTATTTTAATTTCATAACTCTGTGCTGTAGGATGGTTGGGCCCTTAGTGTTCTTCTGAAAAGAAAATGGGAGTATAGAGAGATTGAAATCCCTTATGTTATTCTAGAGGCAGCTAGTAATAAGATATTCACATTAAAAGCTATGTTTCTTTTTAGTGTAACTCATTGTTTAATCTCTTTAGCTAGTTTACTTTTTCAATTTTGAAAATAGGGCAAGGAGAATGCAGGATTCAGCCTGAAGAAACTCAGATACTTATGTTGTCTTAAATACAATTGCTGCTCTTGGTGGTTGTCTGAAAAATCTTCTCTCACTTTTGCAGCTGACTCCAGGCCTGTATGAATTCAAAGTGATCGTAGATGGTCAAAATGCCCACGGGGAAGGCTATGTGAATGTGACAGTAAAGCCAGGTTTGTGTTTCAAGCCACAGCTCTGTCCCATTTCTCTCTCTCAAAGACTCCTGAGGAGGAGAAAATTTGACTTTTGGGTTTTTAATACCATCCTTTTTTTTCATGAAATATTTATTGGACATTTCCTAGGTCAGTGTAGTAAAAGGTTATGGCAGCAAAGTATATATGTGTTCCAAGTGTTCTAATTGGAATACTGGACTGGGCAGGGAAACATTAGTCACAGCATCCACAGTGCAGTGTGGCCTAAGCAATAACCTACCTACCAGAGAACTACTTCTCCARGTGGGCTATACTGAAAGAGGAAGCCAGGAGCCCAGGAGAAGCATGCAGAAGAACCCATCAAGTGACCAGCTCTTTCTGGTATCTTTCCAGAGATGAGGATCTCTATACACATTTTCTCATTTAGACTTGCTGGTCTCTTTCACTTTAGAAACCAAATCCATCATGTCATTCTTTTAAAACGAGCCACTGTTGGCAGATTGTAGTACAATAGCAAGGTATAAGGGATCTTGTTTTGCATTTTCGGAGAAATTTGGGAGAAGTTGGAGAGTAGCACATGTACTAGCACAAATTAGTACTGTTTCCTGTCTTTTTTGGTAGTAGATTTTCTTTTCATTTCTTGAGTTTTGTAGCCAATGTAATCTTTTCACCTTCTTTAAAATATGGTCAGTAGGTCTGGAATGTAGCTCAGTGGTAGGGCCCTTATCTAGCATKAGCAAGTCCCTGGTTGTGTCCTCAACATGGGGATCAACATGTAGACTGTTTGATCATTTCCCAAAGAAAAGGCCACTGGGTTTGTAGGTCACAATCATTCAGGTGGACCAGAGTGGTTTGTGACCTTCCCTTACACAGCCATAGTCACCCCCTACACCATCAGCTCTCATTATCTTTTCAGTATAGTCTGTGCCAAGGGATGGTTTGTTTGCCAGTGTTTTTATTACACAAAGCTTGTTTGTTGTGCACCTCTCAGGCTGTCCTGAAAGTAGCCACTGACTGCTATAGTACTTTTCATGAGCTGGATACACAAGAGCATTAAGAGAATGCACAGGGCACAGTCTTAGGAGTGGTCAGGTTGTTTTTTGTTTGTTTTTTTAAAGAGAGAGAGAGAAAGAGAGAATGAATTTTTTTTAATATTTATTTTTAGTTTTTCGGCGGACACAGCATCTTTGTTTGTATGTGGTGCTAAGGATCGAACCTGGGCCGCACGCATGCCAGGCGAGYGCGCTACCGCTTGAGCCATATCCCCAGCCCAGGAGTGGTCAGGTTTGAAAGAGGCCCATATATTCCCAGGTTTCTTATGTTAAAATGGAAACCTGGTCTGGCTGGGGTTGTGGCTCAGTGGCAGAGCACTCGCCTAGCATGTGTGAGGCGCTGGGTTGAGCCTCAGCATCACATAAAAATAAATAAATAAAAATAAAGGTATTATATTCAACCACAACTAAAAAAAAAAATTTAAAAAAATAAGATAAAATGGAAACCTGGTCTTGTGACTTTACCATCTGGTGATGCTTCAGCTGTCAATTATGTAATGGAAACTGATTTGTAAWCCACTCAGCTATGACCTGCCCTTCTTATAATTTATAAAGTTCCCCTCCCAGTCTCTTCTGGGTCACTTTCTTTCAGAACCCCGTAAGAATCGGCCTCCTGTTGCTATCGTGTCACCCCAGTTCCAGGAGATCTCTTTGCCAACCACATCTACAGTCATTGATGGCAGCCGTGAGTACTTGTCTAAATGTGACAGACAGTGTGCGCTCACAGCGTACTCCTGTAGAAATCTCTGGTAGAAGGTTCAGGGCCCACTGCATTCTGCTTGGAGCAGTCTTCTTGATTGTGTTATGGGTCTGAAGCAGCTGACTGAGAAGTAGGTGACAGGACAGGCCCAATTAAAATTCCCACATGGCTTGTTTAAAGTGATATTCCTGCTCTAAGATGGCAAGAAAGTGGTATTATGCATGTATTTAGAATTACTTTAGTTGGAACTGTCTGTTTTTCAGATTTACTTTGATGGAATTTCCTTTCCGGGTTTTGGAAACAATGTTTCTTGCTTTCATGCTAGATAAGTAACTGAGAGGCACGACCCAGAGCTCTGACTCTGCCATCGGTGCCTAACCAGATTGTCCTCTCTTCCCAGGGAGACTCAGAATGCCCTCCACAACCTGCCTGGGCTCACTACCATTTTACTCTTCAGAGTAGCGTCACCTGATGGGTGACAGGAGAGGATTTTTGAATCTTAGTTCTTGATCCTTGCAGTGTGTGTGCAGAGGTTTCAGTCCTGTCTTCTTAGTGGTATTCGCTTGGTTTCTTTTGAGACCCATTAAGGCCCCATTACCCTGTCTTGGCACCAACAATTGTTTTTGGCAGATGCATTCAGTGCTTGGCAGAGGACCCTATAGCAAGGTTAAGCATTTCTTGTCATTGGTTCTGGCAAGAGGAGTAGAAGGATAGAAGCCAAGGGGAAAGAGAACAGGAAGAAGTGCTTATGATAGAAAGTGTTCACATAGCACTGTTATTGTATAGTTTTGAATAGGTCAAAATAATACATAAAGGTACTCAGTGAAAAGAATCATACCATCCACGTCTCCCAACTATTCAGTTTTCCTCCAGACAACCAATGGTATTGTTTTATGTATCCTTCCAGAAATTTTTTATGTACATATAAGAAAATATGTATATAGTGTTATCCCTTTGTTTACATACAACACATCATGTGTGAACATTGATAGCACATTAGGTGTGCTGTTACATATGTATTATGCTTGTTTCCCTGTGAGGGAATTTTTCTCAATCAGTGCGTGAAAGGCTTATTCATTCTTTTAGCAGTTAGAGTGTTTCATTATATGTATGTATATGATTTCATTGTGTGACTGTTTTCTTGTTTTTGATCTCTATTGTTGACCATTTAGATGACTTTCATTCTTTCGCTGTTACAAACAACATATCATAAATAATCTTGTCAACATGCTCCTTAATGTATATGTTATGTAGGATAAATTAATTCCTAGATGGATATATTCCTAGAATATTATTTCGTTGTATGAATACAAACTTTTATTAATCTCTAGCAATGACCATTTAGATTACTTTGATTCTTTTGCTATTACAAACAACGTTATAATAAATAATCTTATCAACATGATGTTTAACCCATGTGTAGTATGTCTGTTGAATAAATTCCTAGAAGAATTGCAGGAACAAAGATAAATATTGCCAAAGTACTAGTTGTAGGATAACTAATTGTATCAATTTATGCTTCCACCATGACTAATGAAAGGGCCTTTTTCCATACCTTTACCTATATAATGTGTCATGAAACTTTTTAAAAAACAATTTGATAAGTTCAAAAGTGATATYTCAAGTGTAATTTTAATTTACATTTTTTTTTTTTTTTAGTGAAGTTCAGTATGTTTTCACATGTTTAAGAATTGCTGATTTTCATCTGGGCATGGAGGCACATACCTATATTCCTGGTGACTTGGGAGTCTGAGGCAGAAGGATCACAAATTTGAGGCCAGGCTGTCTCAAAATAAAAAATAAAAGGGGTTGGAGGTGTAGCTCAGTGGTGGAGTACCCCTGATTTGATTCTCACTACTGGGTCTCAGGGGGAAATTTTAGTATTTTAGTCAGAGGTGTCCTATGTTTCTTGAGAAACAATGCAGTAGAATATTCATAAAGAGGCAGAATGACCCAATATTTCTGGGGAAGAAACACTCTATAGAGAGATAAGTCTATAATTTCATGAAGTTTTCCTAGCTTGAAATCTCTGAGGTATTTGTCCTGGTTTATATAAACTGGTAAGTCCTGGGACCCAGCATTTTCATGTTGTAAACGATGTTCTTTGTGGTCCAGAAAGCACTGATGATGATAAAATCGTCCAGTATCATTGGGAGGAACTTAAGGGGCCTCTGAGAGAAGAGAAGATTTCTGAAGATACAGCCATATTAAAACTAAGCAAACTGGTCCCTGGGAACTACACCTTCAGGTAAGTCAGGATTCAGTGTCAGATTGGCCAGAGGCCACCCTTTTCCTTCCTATATCCGGCATTTTGGTTTTACTTCCTTGAATGTCTTCTCAAACTGTTGAAGGTTCTGCTCATGAGGAGAGACTATGACTCTCCTCTTTCCCTCCATGCCTCACCAGCACCTGCCATAGTGTGACAACTTATTCTTGGGCATCTGTCTTCCTTTCAGTCTGATATTTATCAAGTTTTAGACTCTGCTGGGGTCACAGAGATGATTGTCCTAGCACAACATTTACCATACCATATCTTTACCATCAATTTGCAAATTCGGACTTAGTAGCATTCTCTAACTGGAAGGTAGCTTCCTGAACAATAAGATTTGGGCCTTCTGGTTAGCTTAAAATGAAAAGTTGATTTGGTTTTTATTAGATTTGTAAAAAACCAAATTTCCCATTTATAGAATTTAGCCTGATCTGGGTTAATCCTTTATTTAAATAGTGACAATAATAGCTAATGTTTTTAAACATTTACTGTATGCCAAGTACTGTTCTGAGCTCTTTGCTTATAGTATCTCATTTATTCYTTTTAACTGGCTTCATGGTTACTCTCATTAACACATTTGGAAGTTTTGGCACAAAGAGGTTAAATATTTGACCAAGGTCACACAGCAGTCTGATTCTAGAGTCTGGGCTTTTAGCCACAGTGGTAGACCAAGTTTGTTGGGTGTGTGGGACACTGGGAGCAACTTTTTCTTTTTTCCTAGCCCTTTATGTCTTTTTAATCTATGAGATGATGGGTTTGGATTTGATTAGCATTAAGGCTCAATCTGGTTGTGGTTCGCTTGCCTTCTCCTCTCTCTGTCGTTTCTTTCCCTGGCCCTATATTCAGCTTGCTCTTCTACCACAGGGTCTATGCAGGCAGACCAGGGACTGTTTAGGGTGAAAAGCGGAGCAATGGGCAGCAGCCATTTTGCCTGTGACCCCTTTCTGTTGTCACATGGAGATGGGTAGGTATGCTAACAACATCACACCTGTGAAAACAACAGGGAAACTGGGAAAAGGGGCCAAACACTGGACTTCCCTTTTCCAGTGCTTGCTGATTTGTACATGTGTGCATGTCCCGTGTTTTTGTGCTTTTTTCCTTAAGGCTGTACTATCAGAAATCCCCTTCAGACCACAGGTAAAAGTGAGATTGTGGGATAAAAACCCCAGAGATGTCTGACTCTTTCTGAGGCTGGTGAGAATTAAACAAATCGCATGTCTTTCCTATGCTTTTCCTCTTTCTGTCAGCAAAATGGAAGGATCCCAAACCTCTTTGCTTGCTTATACTCACATTTTGAGGTGGCACGAGAAGCTCTAGGCTGTTCAGCTGGAAGGCATCATTTAGGTAAAAGCCTGCTCTTATAAAAGAACATTTTTTTCCTTGCAAATCCCGTTTCTCACTGGCACAAACTGTGGGCCTGTTGCGTGGGAGAATTCATTTCCATCTCAAACTCCTGCCTTACCAGAGCCAGCCCTCCTGGTCTGTCCCAAAGACTGTGTGCCCAGGATGGCCATTCTTATGATATGCACACAGCTAAAACAGGATGATGGGGACAATCTGCTGCAGACAGAGTGTGCTCTATATAGTGTGGTGTCTTTGAACTAGGGGCCAGGGATTATCTCTTTTTAAGACTAGGTTTCTGAGCTTTGGAATCAGAGAACTGGGCTTGCATCTTGGCTCATCATGAAGCTCTGGGCAAATTGCTTCTCTTCTCTAAGCCTCCTGTGGAGTGCACTGACGAAACCTACTCTMTATGGTTATCGTGTGAATTATATTACAGTGCATATAAGATCTTAGCACACAGATTGTCATAGGCAGCAGAGCAAACTGGTGCTGGAGACATACTTCCTTTCAGATCCTGAGTCCACTGCTGTCCAACTGCATGACCTTGAGTAAGTTACTTTTCCTCTTTTCGCCTTGGGCTCCTTGTGTATGTAAGGAATAATACAAGGATAATACTTTATAGAGCTTTTAGATGAATCCAATGAGATATAAAGGCTTGGAACAGTGCCTGTCACATAGTAAACCCTCAGTCACTGTTAGCTTCTAGTGTTACTCTGCTTTTCCAGTAGGAAAAGTCAGAAGAGGTAATCCTGCCACCTTGGGGTTTCATAGTCTTGATTTTCAGTTCTCTAGTTTTTTTCCTCCTCCCTAACACTCATCCTTTATTGCACTCCTCTCTCTGCCCTGATAGCTTGACTGTAGTAGACTCTGATGGAGCTACCAGCTCCACCACTGCAAGTCTGACAGTGAACAAAGCTGTGGATTATCCCCCTGTGGCCAACGCAGGCCCCAACCAAGTGATCACCCTGCCTCAAAATTCCATCACTCTCTTTGGGAACCAGAGCACTGATGATCATGGCATCAGCAGCTATGAGTGGTCACTCAGCCCAAGCAGCAAGGGGAAGGTGGTAGAGATGCAGGTAGGAGGGAATGCTTTCTGTCTTCTCTTGTCCAGGGGATAAAGAACTGCTGGATTGGGTCACCGTTCAAGGTTTATTTCTTTTCCATTTCAATTACCAAAATCAGATTTGTACATTTATATTTAAAAAAGAAAACCCAAAACAAATCCAGAAAGTTTTATGGGCCTTTTGTTGACAGGTTAGCAATAATCTTTAACTTAAACCTTTAGTATCAGGCGGGGGAAAAAAAGACTGATGAGAAACGTAGTTGTTCTGGGTGACTCCAGAGAGTCAGACTACTTAGAGGCCACAAGGGTTCAAATCTTGRTGTGCTCTGTTCCCAGTTGGAGTAGATTGTCTGACTCAAGGGTGTCTTATCTGGAGATACCTAAAAAGAGATTACATCTGTCACCAGGCAAGTCACATAAGTAAAGAATACTGTGTGGGGCTCTGGTGAGCCAGAGAACTTACATCTCTGAATGCAGGGGTCCTCTGCTCTTTGGGTCCAGCTGGCTGTTGCCATGTGGAAGTGTGGTTCCAGTATTGCTGGATAGTCCAGCTTTTCAGGAGCAGACAGAAACTAATTTCTCATAAATGTCAAAAATTCCAACTTTTAAGAAACTCCAGACCAAACAAAATGTTTGCAAGTGGACCCAGCCCACAGGCTGCTTATTTTGTCCATTGTTCTGCCCACAGGAAGCTCCTGTGTTGGAAGTTTGCCCTGAATTATTTCTTTTTTTTTT